TTTAATTATTATTATTGTTATTGTTGTATTATTATTAATTTATTTTGTTATTATTGTTATTTCTACTTTTTCTTTATCTAATTAAATCCTTGACATTCCTTTGTTCTTCATTAGAGATGTGAACATATAACTTATATATATCCTTATAATAAAACAAGTACAAATTCAAAATTTCCTAGATTGACGCTCGAAAACCTATTACAAAATATTTTTCACAATCAGAAATTATTAACGTGAGAGCTAAAAATTTGTATATGAACTAAAATGAATATTAAAGGCTACATGAACTATAACTTAAAATATTTAGACAATAAAATGATCATATACAAAGTGATATCTTTTATTTAATTTTTGTCTTGACCGGTTTCGGTAATTAAATTACCATCTTCAGAAGACACCTATATATTAAAAGGTTTACACGTTAAAATAGAAAATTCCTTATTTAGTTTGTAACTTACGTCAAATTATTACTTAAAAGTTAAAACAAATACCACACATCTTTATATGAACACAATGACTTAACATCTCATTTCTTAAAATAAAATAACACAAGTACTATTTCGAGAATATATAAACTTGTTTTTCAAGTAGAATATAGAAAAGGAAGGGTAGTGTTAAAGATTTTTAAAAGGATCTTTTAAATTACTATATAATGGAGGAATAATGTGATTTATTTGTTCGTTTAATACTATTTTGTCAGGATTCTGTTTTTTTAATTTAGTTATCTCGGACATTTCCAATATTTCTAATAAGTAGCCTTTATTCCTCTTGTGCAAAATTTTTGTATTTTTCTCTATATATCGAAATCGTGATTATTAAAATTTATGTGTCTTCCGAATGCTGAATTTTCTTTTCTTAGATGTTCTTTGATTCTAGTTTTGAAATTACGTCCAGTCTCTCCGATATATGTGGCTTGACAACTATTACATTCTATTTGGTATACGCCACTTTCTTGTAAGATATCTAATTTATCTTTGTTATTAACAAGAGTATTTTGAATAGTGTGTGTAGTTTTAAATGTTAAATTTATGTTATATTTTTTTTAAGTTTTTTCAATTTGTGTGATATTGTACCTGGGTAAGTTATTGTTTTGAATTTATTTGGTTTGCTAATATTTATTGTTGTTTCTAATGATGAAATTTGTTTTAAATTCATTTTACAAGTCTATCAATTTTGTATGTTGTTTTTTTTCGATATCTTCAGAAAGAGCACGACTACCGATAATTCAATATTTTTGCATCACGGTAATGTTACAGTAAGGTTTATATTTCTTCATATTTAACTAGAGTTTGTTTTTGTAAATCTGTAGTTGTGTCCGAAGATTAATAATGAAATTAATAAATTTCATACGATTCATCTTTTAAGGTCAAAAACCTGGTTTTTGTTTTCCGTCTCTTCTAATTGATATCTAAACGATGAATCTGAAGAAACAACTAGCAATCACTTCTAGTTAGTCTCAAAGAAACGTTTTCATGTTTAAAACCAGTACCTACATACCACCTTCCATTCAAAAATTAAACATTTCATTCATAAAGATCTATATATTTCAGACTTTGTTTTATTAAAATTAAATCATTTTAAGCCTTCCCTTGCAAAAAGGTTTGAAGGCCCTTTTAAAGTTATTAAACGCTTTCAAAGAAACTTTATTATTTTAAAAGATAACAAAGAATTATCAATTAGTATTGATCAATTATCGCCAGCATTTATAGCTAACGATAAACTTGAAATTGCTTCTAATCAAAATGCAATTCCAAATAAATCTTTAAGAATACGTTTTAAAGAGTAGTACTTTATATAATTTACTCTTTTTAGAATTAAAATACAAAGATAGACGTGTTGTCTTGTTGAATGCTTGTAAAAAATGCTCAATAAAAATATATAATAACCTAACGCCGAATAACATATAAAACTAGAGCTAACACTAGCACTATTACTAGAACTAGCACTTGACCTAGAACTAGAAATATTCTGGTTCTACTTTAGTTCAATAAAAATTTGGAACAACCTAATGTTCAATATCAAATAAAACTAGAGCTAACACTAGAACTAATACTAGACCTAGAACTAGAAATATTCGGGTTTAGCCGTGCGTCTCTTAAAACAGCTAAACCCGAATGTTTCTAATTCTAAGTGCAGTGTTAGTTCTACTTTTAGTTCAATAAATATATACAACAACCTAACACTGGATAACAACTAAAAGTAGAGCTAACACTAGCACTACAACTAACATTAGTTCTAGACCTAGAAACATTCGGGTTTAGCCGTGCGTCTCTAAACATAAACTAATATACTATAAATATATCATCACCATCAATTTAAACAACACAAATTTTTACATCAGAAAATATAGATAGAATAAACGAGACGTTGAACTAAAGTAGTTTACTTTTCCTGACAGATTTTTTCAGGTGCCCATAAGAGCACTTTATGAAAAAGTGGGAGCAAACAAAACGATATCGCCTGTCATAAACATCCCACGCTATAAACGAACAACAAATATGTATCAAACTGTATACGTTATGGTGTTTGTACAATTCTTAATAACAAGCGCGTGGAATGCTTTCACAGTAGATTTGCAAACGATTCAGTAATTACAAATATTTTGAAATTCCCTTTTTGATACAAAGTTAAAAATCATGTAAACTTTTTATTCTTGCAAATTCACATAAGTTATTTTCAGAGATGTGACTTATTATTAACATTACGTGTTATGTAACAAAACCTAAACGAGAAAATGTGAAAAAATCGTTGTTGATGAAATACGGAAAATAAAAAATAAAGAACGTAAAAAGGAAGATTCTTCAGAGTCGCCCATAACAAGAGATAATAACAGTAACATCATTATTGACTTACAAGGGAAGTGTCGGAACTATCCCTCCCCGATTTTGTTGCAATTTGATACAGCGATAGTATGGCCAAAAATAGGGTTTACGTATTTTTTCATACGTGCTAATAAAGCCCATGGGGCGCTTATAAATATTCGCTTATAACCTGAAAACGAAAATAGCTATCGAAATGTGGTAAACGTAAACTGATATTCATTTTCAAAGAGCTTTCTGTTGATATATCACACATATATCTGAGGGCTTCAGGGGGTATACTACCCCTAGTTTTTTGGAATATTTTAAAAACAACCTTGTCGATTTTGGCGGCATTAACTACTCTTATAGTACGTTTAAAAATATTAATTACGTGTTTGTTCTTATTTGCTTCTGGCCATCCCCTGCAATGTTATGGGGTATGATAGATAACCCCTGTCCTTAAGAATAATGTGATAAACTGTTACACTTTTGAACATTATTTTCGCTACTAATTTTCATACTCCTACAGAAACTTTTTTATCCTTACTCTATTTAAATAACACAAAAATTAGTGTAATTATACAGGGTGCCCATTATGTATACATTGATTTACACTGTACCAAATTTCAACGCTTTACCGTAAATAGTGTTTAAGATAAAATAATTAAAAAAATTACCGTGTGGTTTTGCCAGTACGACGACGAAACATCTTTTGTAGACAAAATCTAAATAACTTTTTTATTCAAATAATTTTAAATATTGTGTATTTATAAACAAATGATTAAACTATACTATTAATAAACAACAAGTATAAAATTTATAATAAATGTTCAAAGATTTCCCCACCCACTTCAATACATCTATTAACCCTGCTACTAAAACTTTCTGTACATCTTAAAAGGTTATCTTGGCTACTATTTCTGCATGCATTTCTTTTCCGCTCTTTCATGTTTTCTGGCATAGTAGGTACTTCGCGATAAACATTATTCTTAAGNTAGGTAAAGGAACTAGCATGATGAAATTTGTTTTAAATTCATTTTACAATGTTTCTTGTCTATCAATTTTTGTACTGTATTTTCGGGGTAATTATTATTTTTTGCTATTATTTGTATTATTGATATTTCTTTTTCAAAGTTACTTTGATCTAATTCTGAATTAAATGCTCGGTGTATATATGATCTTAATGCTGCTAATTTTTGTGTATAATCGTGGTATGAATCATGCGGAATAATTTTGCTGTTCTGTGTCGGTTTTCGGTAAATATCGAAAGCGATCTTATCCTTCTCTCTAATCAGAGTAGAGTCCAAAAAGTTTTGCTTGTTGTCTCTTTCCATTTCCAATGTAAATGTAATGTGTTTATGAATGTTATTAATATATTTATACAGATCAAAAAAAAGATCCTTTTAAAAATCTTTAACACTACCCTTCCTTTTCTATATTCTACTTGAAAAACAAGTTTATGTATTCTCGAAATGTTATTTTATTTTAAGAAATGAGATGTTAAGTCATTGTCTTCGTATAAAGATGTGTGGTATTTGTTTTAACTTTTAAGTAATAATTTGACGTAAGTTACAAACTAAATAAGGAATTTTCTATTTTAACGCGTAAACCTTTTAATATGTAGGTGTCTTCTGAAGATGGTAATTTAATTACCGAAACCGGTCAAGACAAAAATTAAATAAAAGATATCACTTTGTATATGATCATTTTATTGTCTAAACAATTAAATAAGTGATAATGGATGAAAACATAATTAAATATAACTTTAAAGGATACTTTTATACAATCATATTTATAATAGATGTACCAATACTTTTGCGTGAAACTGTACGCATGCTGGGATAGGACAACGCTGATTTACTTTAAATATTAAATTGTATTTGTAATTAAATACTGCTCAACAAATACATAAAAAAATAATAAAAATAAATTGTATCTAAAAAGTAAAATAATTTAAATCATGCCATCTATTAATCGTAAACCAAACTACACTTGCCACCAGATGTCGTTTCAGTGACCTATAAACTCGTTTATTACCCTCGCATATTTGTGTTACTCGTAAGTAACATCTAGACGCCAGTTTGGTTTCGATCCGAAGAGGAGTTTATCTCGATGAACGTTGTTTTGTGGTGTTAACAGTTTTTTCATAAACAGCGTTGTAGAAATGTCTAAATATTGGAATCTAAATATTATATGGAATGGCTCTTGTAACGTTTACGTCAAAACTTCCGTCAATTGTCATCGAATAAAAACAAAAAAGAGGCAAATTTTCAATTCTGCATTTCGAAATGTCGGCATGGATGAGGTAAGAATTTTTATAAAAAAAATTAAAATGAACAGAAACTTATATAATAATAAAGTCTAAAAAGGCCTCTTCTTCTCTAAATAATAATATATTTATTACATTTTATTTACATGGTACCGGTTTCGACATGTTCACATGTCATCATCAGCCAAATAGTCGTAAAAAAGGGTCACAGCCTAGGGACATACAAAATCACAAGTAAAATGAAAGTAAAACTGTAAAAACTTTACAATAAAATAAACAAATTAAAACTTTTTATAAATTAAGAAGAACATTCAGGAAAACACACTCGATACAACTACAGTTATATCGAGTATACCGATTGGTAACTTTAATTTTAGGAGATACACCCAACACGGACGTACGTATAAGTATACGTGTGTGTGTATATTCGGTGTCGTTAAGTGGGGGATAAACAAGCGTAGGGGTAATGCACAAATTGAATCGTTCATAGATTGTTGAGAGGCGAAGTTGGTCGCATCGCTTTGCAGTTAACCCTAGCAAAAAAAAACTAAGATGTTGTTTACTGTAGCGGAAAAGGTACAGATTATAAAATGGTTTTATGGTGGCAATTCTGTAGCCCAAATAATTAATTTGTTTCCTGTGGCCTATGAAAACAGATCAATTCCTAGTCGCGGAACAATTTCAAATATTATTAAAAACTTTGAGCGACATGGATGTGTGTCTCCACAGAAACACAAATTACGAAGGGGTAAAAGAGATGAGTTACGTGATACGATGATATGTGCTGATGTTGAACGCAATAAAAATCAGTCAAGCAGACAAGTTGCGGAGACGTTTGCTATCAGCCATGTTGCCGTCCTAAAAACATTAAAGAAACACGGGTACAGGTCGTACAAGGTACAAAAAAGTCAGGAACTCTGCGAGAACGATAATATTACAAGGGCGGAATTTTGCTTTACTATGATGGAAATGGCCAACGGAAATGTTGATTTTATAAAAAACATTTTATTTACCGATGAATCTACATTTCCTTTGCATGGTCGGCATAATCCCAGCGTTGCTCGATATTGGAGTCGTGACAATGAACACAAAGTTTATGCGGCTCGTACACAATATCCCCAAAAATTAAATGTTTGGGCTGGCTTAGTAGGTGACCATATTATCGGTCCTTTTTTCATAGAAGGAAATTTAAATGGTCATAAGTATTTAAACATTTTGCAAAATGACGTAATCCCATCGCTTCAACAATTAGACAATGTTCAATTTGGAAGTATCTGGTTCCAACAAGATGGTTGCCCGGCTCACAACAGCCGGCAAGTTAAAGAGTATCTTAACGCACAATTTCCAAATCGTGTAATATCTATTTGCGGAACGTTAACTTGGCCGCCTAGATCACCAGATTTAGCCCCCAATGATTTTTTTCTATGGGGATATTTAAAATCGAAAATTTATGGTTTTGATGAAGAAAGGACAACCAATCTGGATGACTTACAAACAAAAATTCGCAATTGTATACAGGATATTAGTCCCGATATACTAGCGAATGTAAGGCGAACTTTTTACGATAGATTGGGCTATTGTTTAGCACAGAATGGTGGTTTATTTGAACACCTAATATAAAAAATATTTTATTTTTATAGTTTTTTGTTTTATTTGTTGTTTTACAAAGTTTATTTCAGTTACTTACGAATTGTTTTTATTTTTAGAATTAAGAATTTGCTTTGTCTTATTTGAATTTCATTTATTATATTAGTTATTATTTTTATAATATTTCTTATCATTGAACGATGTCAAACGACTGACTGCTCTCCGATCCACTACTCTTGCGATTCCCCTCCCACAAACATACTCCGCGCGCATATGCACACACACAAGTATACTTATCCGTACGTCCGTGTTGGGTGTATCTCCTAAAATTAAAGTTACCAATCGGTATATGTATTATATGTATCATTAAATTATACCACTAAATCATGGATTTTTTAAGAAACTTATATTATTTTATAATAGTAAATGTATTCTTAAAATGGGCATTTACTTATGTACTTACTAGATTGATTATATTACTTGCTTTATTTTATTAGTCTGTTTTTGTTATTGTTCTTGGCTGCGACTTTGCTCTTAATCCTGTTTGCATCCCAAATAAATAAATAAATTCAATTACAGCAGCAGTGATTTCTCCAACAAGCTGGCGTGCCACCACACTATGCCCTTCCTGTTCGAGTTTATTTAAACCAATTATTTCCTAAGCGATGGATTGGGAGAAGAGGCCTAATTGATCGGACTGCAATATCACCAGATTTGACTCTGCCAGACTTCTTCCTTTAAGTTCACACCACTAGACCAAATACTTTGGATGAACAAAAATTCAGAATCCAAGAAGAAGTTCAGCGAATAATTCTTGATACCTTAGGGAATTGTCAAAAAGAATTTAAAAATCGTTTAGGAGCTGTCCAAGGTATACAGTTTCAATAATTAGGTTAATTTTAATTTTTTATTTATTTATTTCAATGAAATTGCATAATCCTTAATTCTTTATCTGGTGGTTCCCGTGATATCAAGGCTATGTCATGCTTCCTCAGCTTTATTATTAATATATTTATAAATTGTCCTAAATCTATCATTCTGATAGATAAAAAATACATTGTGGACATTTACTTCTGATTAGTTACAATAATTCATTTGTATAGGTATAAAATGTGAAATATATTTTTATCTAATATTTTTTTTTTAATTTTAGGTGAGGACAACCTTCTAAAAGTATAGATAGTACCACTTTGTCTCAGTTGTGCACCAGTTAATTGTGCATTGAAATTACAAACACCTTCAAGAAAGTTATTTTGATTAGTAATATAATGACACCAACTATGGTTTTCCTGTAATCTAACTTTTGAAGACAATTCCTCAGTTTAACAGGTAATAGTTTAATTTTTTAATCAAGATAAAATTACAATCTTTTTTGTGTATCGGGTGTATCAGCAACTTTTGGTATCGATTCAACTTGAATCAGATTTGAATAGTATTGAATACTTGACTTAATTCTCATGAATCGATTCCATTTTTGAGAATCGTTTCCGGCTCGATTGCAATGCTTTATGTACGCTGGGAAAGGTTACGCAGATGTACATTCACGACTCAACGCTACATATTTATAAAAAAGTAAATACATAGGCTTGAAGTACACATATTACTCTACAGAATAACATATTTAGTATTCTAAAATAATCATGACTCTAACAGTAATAAATTACGAAAGTTAGCCATTATAAGGGCTTAATACAAATCATTCTCTAGAAGAGATTAGGGACTTTAACGAGGTGACAAATATGTCATTTAATGCTCATGTATCTTAGGAAGAGAATACGTATTCGTAAAAGTGCAATAGATGTGTTATTATTTCATGAATGTGTTTTTTCTGAAGGTATGTGATTTTATAAAAGGGATGAAATTCTCCATATTTCTCAAGAATTAAATAATAAAAAATGGAAAAAGTAAAAACTTTTTGTGAGAAATAACAAAATATGTCTATTGAAATAAATTAAGTGTTTCGAAACAAATGTTTCATCTTCAGTACCTGTTTTAAGAGAAAAAGGATAAAATTAACAAAGGCTAAACGGAACGACATTGATACGGTAAAGGTGACGGTTTGGAGTTGAAAAAATTAAACTTACTTAAAAATAATTACAAAAGGATGGAAAAATTTTTTTTAAATATGTTGGGAATAGGTCTGAATTCTAGTGATTGTTCTTAAAAACAAAATACTTCTAAAAAATTTTTTTACAAAATCAAAGTAAATCCTTAAATTTCTTGGAGGCATTAATTATTGCAATTAACTTATGGCAAGGGCAGTGTTGCCAACTACATCGTAGAGTAAAACTACATTGATGCTTAACAAAACCGTAGAAAACTGGAAATATTAATATTTTATAAAATTAATATTAATGGTGGTAATAAATAAAATGTTTATGAGAAAGAAATTATAGTAAAAAAATTATGAGTTCCTTAAATGTATTAAAATTAACAAATATAACAATACTTATGAAGAAGTTAGATATTATTAGCTATTATATCATTTTCAATTTGTAAATCTTCTTGATTTTCTGTTTCATCTTTTCTTTTTAAATCGTACATATTTTTGTTGAATTTCTCACTATGCTCATTGGTCGTTTCAAACTCAAAACAGTTTTTAATTTCTGATTTTGTGTGCAAAGTACCCTTTATTGTGGTCGTAGAAAGCTTATTTTTAAGTTTCGTCTTCATAATATTAATAGTTGAAAACAAACGTTCTACCTTTGATTATATATACAGGGTGATTCATAAGTAATGGGCCAAATTGTAAATGTACGTTCAGGAGGCCAAAATAATAATATTTTCATTAACAATAATGGGTCTTAGTCTGCTCCTTACTGAGATACAGGATGTTAAAGCGAAAAAAATAAAATAGATTTTTGTTAATAGATCAGCTACTTTTCTACATAATGACTCATAGTTGACTTATAGTTTTTGTAAGGGTAAACAATAATGTGTGAGAGGATTTGAGTTAACTCGTAGATGTCGCCACATGCGCCATATGAATTATGAAACGTCAATGAGCTTTTACGTTTAATGAATAGTTTAAAACATTTTATTGTTAAGTAAACTGATTCATTCTTGTCCTAACATAAATCAAAATGCCGAGACATAATCACTTTTCAAACGAAGAAATGAGAGACATGTTATGCGTTTACGCACAAGAACGTTTTTCTGGGCAAGCAGCATCCAGAAAATATCGTGAAATGTACCCTTACAGAAGGCAGCCAAACCGGAAGATATTTCAAAATATTTATAATCGATTGGGTGAAACAGGTTCATTTCGTCCAAAATATCATACAGGACGTCCTAAGATTATCACTCCGCAGCAAGAAGATGAAATTTTGGTAAGAATTGCGCAAAATTCTGAAATAAGCACTCGTCGATTGTCTGCAGCAACTGGAATAAGCCAACCATCCGTGACTAGAATTTTACACAAGGAAAATTTATATCCCTATCATTTTATACCTGTGCAAAATTTACTTCCAACAGATTATCGAATCAGAGTTCAATTTTGTCAGTGGCTAAAAGGAAAATTGAATAATAATCCAACATTCCTAAATAACATTCTTTTCACGGATGAAGCAACCTTTACCAGACGCGGAGTTTTTAATTGGCGAAATAGTCATGCCTGGGAAACCGAAAACCCTCGTTTAAAAAAAGATAGACATTTCCAGCACGAGTTTAAAATAAATGTGTGGTGCGGTGTAATAGGCAATACATTACTGGGCCCAGTTGAATTACCTCCTAATTTAAATGGAGAGTCATATTTAATTTTTTTAAATAATGACTTAGTCGACCTCTTGGGAGATCTTCCATTACAACTAAGAAGAAATATGTGGTTCATGCAAGACGGTGCTCCTCCACATTTTTCACGTGCTGTGCGCGAACATCTGAATGAAACATTCCCTCACCGTTGGATTGGACGTGGTAGTGAATTTCAGTGGCCACCTCGCAGTCCCGATTTTAATCCACTTGATTTTTATGTGTGGGGTTACATGAAATCAATGGTCTATGCTGAACCTACTATAAATACACGAGACGAGTTATGGAATAGAATTCAAGATGCAGCCAATTCAATACGAAATAATCCTGCTACATTTTTTAAAGTCAGACAATCCTTAACCAAACGGTTAAATGCGTGTATAAATGCTGGTGGTGGTCATGTTGAAAACCTTTTGCAGTAGCTCATAATTAAGCTTAAATTTAATTTAACTTCGCACAACATTAACATGTAGGTTTTGATAACAGTTGTCGTAAGTGGTCTTAGTTCAAGTCTGTTCTAATGTTGTATTTCGTTTTATTAACTGGCGTACAATAAATTGTTTTATTACGTAATTTTTTTATGGTTTCAGTTTAATATTGTTATCAATTATCAATTACGGTTAGGTAAATGTCAACATTCCATGCCATGCTTGTGTCTTAACAGATTAATGCTACGTCGACCACCGTGAAATGTAGTGTAGTGAATTAGTAAAATTCAAATATCTCGAAAATCGTTAATATTTTCAAGATCAAAGAAGTATAGCTTTTTTCTACAGAAATGATGGGGCTATCCAAATTAAACAAGTATGTTGTAAAATAATGAGCGATAAAAAATTTGTAGCTGATTTCATCTAATTCATATGGCGCATGTGGCGACATCTACGAGTTAACTCAAATCCTCTCACACATTATTGTTTACCCTTACAAAAACTATAAGTCAACTATGAGTCATTATGTAGAAAAGTAGCTGATCTATTAACAAAAATCTATTTTATTTTTTTCGCTTTAACATCCTGTATCTCAGTAAGGAGCAGACTAAGACCCATTATTGTTAATGAAAATATTATTATTTTGGCCTCCTGAACGTACATTTACAATTTGGCCCATTACTTATGAATCACCCTGTATATAGATAGCTCACCTCATACTAAAATTTGGAAACAAAGATAGTAATCAATAAAGCCTAAAGTAATAAAGCCTAAATCAAGGCGGAAATAATTATTTTTAGTTGCATTTCAGTAGTTAAAAGTGAAACTGATGGTTAGGTATTTGGCTTATAGATGGAACTTTAACTAGTGACAAGATTAAACGTAATATTTTATTTAGTAGGTAATTAAAAATTATAAATAATTTAAAATAATTGTAAAACTTTTAATTTTTCTTTAAAGTCGTTGGTTCAAATCTAATTGCAAGTGCTATGAAATGTAATAGTAAAAATTTTACGTCCGGTCTCAAGACGGTGAGAGCCACTGAGTGCAACTAGCCATATCGGTACACGGTTAGACACAGACACAGTGTCTTCAAAAAGTATTGTTTTTGGTTATAAAAATATTTTAATTTTAAGATCGGTAGTAGATAATTTTTATGTATGTACGTAATTTAATCTGCTCAATAAGTTTCATGTTATTTTAGTTACCACGCGGTATTTACGATTTTTCGAATTCTAAGTCTGTATTTACAGGTAACTAAGAATTATGTTTCAAATAAAAGTTTCTTTATTAATTGAGGAGCATTTTCAGGCGATATTTGCTTGTTTGCATTGTTTTTGTATCGCTGCTATGGCAACCAACATGATGGCAACCATATTGTCGGGAATTCATTTTTGGTATACGTTTTTGTTGGAGTCAATACTCTAAAATCATCAGTATCCATATCAGCAACAACGCAATTTTCATACTTTTGTGGTACAGCATTTTTCTTTAACCTACTTTTTGATGTAGGATTTATAAAATCACTGTCTTTAAAATGTAATTCACAAATACATTTATTTTGTAGTTCTTGTGTGGTTGAATGAAGTAAATTTATGTTTCCACAGTGACTTAGCCACATAGCTTCATTTTTAACAGGGAAACCGTATAGTTTTATTCCACTAGCCCGTGGACCACTCATTATTAATCCGATTGGCGTATTTACACCTATACTTTTTATACAAACTTAATCGTCTCTTGTCTGCAGAAATTAAACTACTAAAAGCACAACTAACAAATTTATTTTATTACATTTCTGTGACGCCTAGACAGCTTTACGCGCCGGTTTTTATCCCTCATGATAAAAAAGTGGCCTCAAGCCCTGTGCCATCGACTACGGGGGAGCTCAAGCCCCGCAGCCCCCCCGTAATCGGCGCCACTGTGTATGTATGTACAACAAGTTTCAATTGATTAGGTATTGAGATTAAGTAAAATAATATTCTATGACAAAAAATCGTTAAAGACAAATATTTTTTGATTTGTCTTAATTTATAT